TCGCAAAGTACTTAACTGCCCACATGGTGGAAAGCAAAGCCTTTTCACAGTCCGAGTATTTCAACTCAGGTCCAGTCAAGAGCTTACTAGCATAGGCCACGACACGCCTGTCGCAGTCATGAATCTGGTAGAGACCAGCACTCAAACAGTGAGCTGAGAAACCAACCTCAAGATGGAACTCCTTGTCACAGTCGGGGAGCGCCAAGCACGGAGCCGAGCACATGGCGGCCTTCAGGTCATCCATGGCCTGCTGGTGCTGCTCCGCCCACTCGAACGCCACATCCTTCTTCAACAGATTAGTCAGAGGTCGTGCCAACTCAGCGTAATGTTCCACGAACTGACGCGAGTAGTTGCAGACCCCCAAGAAGCTGCGAAGTTCGGAGACGTTCGTCGGAGGTGTGATGGTGGCAACACCCTGAATCCTGCCAAGCTGAGGCTGCACTCCCTGTGGTCCCACAAGTAGGCCAACGTACTGAACTTGCGACCTGCACCACTGTCCCTTGGCGAGAGAGATCTTAGCACCCGCCGCTGCGAGCTGACCCATGACATGGTCCAGCTCGGCCAGGTGGTCATCCAACGTACGCCGACGAATAAGAATGTCGTCGACATAGATGAGTGTCCCACGCTCTCGAGCATCGGGGCAGGCCTTGTTCAAGAAGATGTTGAACTCAGCTGGCGAGTTGGAATAACCAAAAGGACACCGGGTGAAGGTGTACTGCCGGTTGGCAAAGGAGAAAGCAAGTTTGTGTTGGTCCGATTCGTGGACGGGAATCGTCCAGAATCCAGACGCAATGTCAAGGGTGGAAAAGTACTTAGCATCTTTCACTTTTGGAAGCTCCTGCTCCAGGCGTGCCATAGGCCACCTAGACAAGGGGACCTGTTTGTTGAGTTGCCGGTAGTCAATGGTAAGTCGCCACTTACCATTAGGCTTCAGTACCGGCCACAACGGAGCCGAGTAGGTGCTGTTGCAGGGTCGAATGACCCCGTTAGCCAAGAGGCTGTCAATGATTTCCTGGACCGGTTCTATGGACGCCAGGGGAATCTTGTATTGCCGCACAAAGGACGGCGGTGCATCTGGCCTGGTAGGAATCTGGACTTCATGGATAGTGGTCAGACCACAGTCCAAGGAGTCAAGTGAAAGAAAATCCTGGTACTTTAGCAAAAGTTGTCTTAGCTGGTCTCGCTCGACATCGTTGGTGAGAGCATCCGCTTGGTCTATGACCTTCTCAGTCTGTAACAGAAGTTCCGGGGGTCTACCCGGTGGCTTCGAGAGTGGTGGTGAGGTCGAAATTGCGTCCCCCCGCGAAAGACATGCCACCGAAGGGCGTCCGCCTGTGTCAGGCCACGGTTTGTACGGCTTTGGCTTCCGCACACGTGCAAACAGTTGTCCGGACGCACCGCTGATTCTAGCGTCAAGGCGTTGGAGACAGTCCAACCCTAAGAGCATGGGCATCGGCATCTCCTCGCTGATGTACACGAGGTGTTTAAAGGACATGCCTCCTATCGAGATGTTGACCTCAGTTGTCGCAGCCGCGGGCGAGGGAGCGCCATAGAACTCGTCAAAATCCTTTGGGCCCGAAATGAGTGTGGGGGGTGAGATGTCCTCCCCCCTTTGTTCGCATATGCTGCTGTAAAGAGCTCCGCTGATGAGCGAGATGTCCGCTCCTGTGTCTAATAATGCGACACAGCGATGTCTCTGATTTACAGTGACCTCCACTGCGGGCCTATTAGATCCCTTTCTCACGACCAGAGGTGCAAGCAAAATTTTCTCAGTTACGGCGGTGGTAGTAGTGGTACTGCGGTCGTCATCTGCGGGTTCATCGCCTAACATCGCCACGGATGGAACGACCGGAGAGGTGTTGTCGCTTTCCTTTGAGGTGTTGTTGTTTTCCTGTGAATCAGAACCTGTGAAAACATCAACCTGCAGCATTTCAGTCTCATTTTGCGGCTTCTCAGGCAAACACGGAGTCTCTGACCGGGTCTCCTGAGAATCACGCACAAATTGTTTGACGCCCTCGACGTCTTTCTGAAGATTGCAGATCATGTTCATCATGTTAGTCATCATTGGAAGGAAAGTGTTTTGCATCGCCTGAAGTTGAGATGATAATTGCATCGTTACCTCTGAGTCCATTTTCCAAAATAGTAAATAGTCTTTTCTTGTTTTATTTACTAATTTACTCTTCGAATTTGCCTTCTAATTAGATGTTTATTTAGAAACAACCTTACCTGTAGATCTTTTAAAGAATTAGTTACAGGGAAGCTTGGCTGGTGAATGATTATTTTGGGCAAAATTGTTCAATAATGCCAAAAATATCATTGTCATTTGACCTGTCCAAGATGGCGGGTCGAGCTACGTGTCGGGCACCTAAGATGGCGGACCGCCGCGCATGCGTCGTCCGACACCCGGCTTTGATCCCCGTAGCAATCTCACGATTCCAAACACCGTAGCGTTTATTAGAACCGCCGCTAACGTTACCTCAAAGTACTCCGTACCGGAAGGTTTAGCGGATTAAAGGACGCAGTTCCGCTGCGTCGGAACGGCTAGAAAGCTTCGCGGGACGCTTTCCCGAGCCTCCTTACCGAGAGTGGCTAGTTAGCCCGTCGGCTAATGCTAGCGAACGCCCTGTAGCGATCAGGGTCTCAAAATTGCCTCGATCAACCAACGGGCATCTCGCGCCATGATTGAAAGGGTCTCAATAGCGTACGCAATCTGGATGCAGTATCGCTCTGCGGTTGTTCTCGGCTGACAGCGTTTACCGAGCAAGTCAAGCTACGGCAGGTGCTAACGAGAATTCCGACTAAGAATAGTGCGGATCCTGCGCTCATCGAATGGAAATAAATTTCCGACGGAGTCTTCTGTCTCCGATTACACAAATGGATGCACACAGTGTCACAAACACCGCGACAAACAATAAACAGACGGTTCCAATGCAATAAAACAGGAGAAATGTTTACCCTTAGATGTAGGCCTCAAAATGGCCGCAGCACACGTCAGCACTTAAGGTGTTTTGATGAAACAGCGCCTCCTGTTGGAGGGTGATGAATGTGCACCCCCCCTTTCTGAGAGCTGAATGAGGAAGCGCTCGCCTTTTTCTTTTCTCTAACACACAGACACTGAACCAAAAAAATATCCCAAAACGTCTCAGAGTCGGCACAAAGTGTAATAAACTGTGCAGATATCAAGCTAGGCTCGCCATAAATGTAACGGAATTTAAGTGATGTCTCTATCTAAAGTTGTATTTTAATACACTGTAGGTAGTTCACTTTTTATAAACAGAAGAATAGGCTGTTTTTATCATCAGGGAGTTTAATTAAACACTCTGTATTGACTTTGAGACAAGAAAAGAGAGAGAAATGGGATCGTTTGAGAATCTTTAATTTCTGAATTATAAATTCTAAACAATCTACCAGGACTACTTTGTGATGGATGAGAATGGATTCGGATGTTGTGTTGGTGCGTGTGTGTGTGTGTGTGTGTGTGTGTGTGTGTGTGTGTGTCTGGTTCAGATTCTCTAGGCTGACGTCAAAGCATCTGGTCGTCTTTGTTATGACTAGATATCACGAGGCTTATAAAGTGATGACATGAGCCGCTATTTTGCCGTGTACGTACCCAGTGGGGGTCTCCCAGGTAGATCAGGAAATGCCAGGTCTGGAGACCTCGGATGTACGATGGAGCTGTCGGTGCAGCGATCACAACATTTCAAAGCCCGTCTGGAGGGTCGACCCCGGTACCGTTCGTCGGCGTCAGCAGGTGCTCTTATTTTGAAAGGACGTCGTCTGGTTGTTAAACGACGAAAATCTCCCGCTTCACAGTTCTTAGTTTAAAGAAGAAAACACATCTGGCCAGGCTGCGTTTTTCTTTAGGATGACGGTGAATAGAACTGAAGTCAAAATGGAACTGACTTAAAAATGGCGTTGCCTTGTTTTATATCTCTGAATTGTTGATAAGTTGGAGTAAAGTGGATTGGACACTTGAAGTCAACACCAGATTCTCCTGCGGCAGCCGAAAGCTCTGATTGGTTGGAACAATGTGTCATGCGTTTCTATGGAGATGAGGATCAGTATGTCTGTGCCGTAGTCCTGTTTTCATTAAACATAATTCATGACATATTTATTTCACAGATCATTCACTTGATTATTGTTGATCAACATCTGTTTTGCTTAATAATTTTAATCACAAATAAAGTACTTTGATTAAGTAAAGTTTCTTCTTCTCCTTCGGACTCTTCTCCTGGAATGTAAACAGTCTGAGGAACACCCGACCTTGATTTTTCTACACGGTGTTATTGTGCACAGGGGTCAGCTGTATGGAGTTGAAAACAAGGAACTTCATAACGTTACAGTATGGTCGTCCGGTGGAAATGACAGATACAGCTGGGTGTCGTCTGCATAGCAGTGGTAGGAGAAGCCATGTGATCGAATGATCTCACCCAGTGAGATGGTGTATATGGCAAAGAGAAGAGGTCCTAGTACAGAGCCCTGGGGGACTCCTGTGGCAAGATGGTGCATGGTAGAGGATTGTCCAAGCCAAGATACACTGAATGATCGTCCTGTGAGGTACGATTCAAACCAGGCATGTGCTTTCTCTGTGATGTCCATGCTAGAGAGTGTGGACAAAAGGAAGCCATGGTTGACAGTGTCAAATGCAGCTGATAAGTCGAGCAGGATAAGCACTGAGGATTTGGCAGTCACTCTAGCTTCTTTTAAGGATTCCGTCACTGCTAACAGAGCAGTTTCAGTGGAGTGGCCCTTCTTGAACCCAGATTGGTAAGGGTCAAGCAGACAGTTACTAATGTACAGGCTGAGTTAAAACACTTGTTTGGTTTGTTATATTTGGGCTGATTTATTTATTTGCCATCATCTCTGTGAAACTCCGAAATTGTATTTCTGCAGCTAATAAAATAAGCCTAAAAAATAATGGAAGAACAACAATAAACAAACGAAGAATCAAAATTTAACTTGAACGTCACCATTTTTACTGGTTTGCTTTTGTTTTGCAGGGTGGAGGTGAAATGGGGAAGTACACCTGTCTAATCTGTCAGAAGGAGTTTAGCTCTGAGAGTGGCGTTAAGTATCACATAAGTAAAACACACTCACAGGTGGGTACAACTTCACAAACAGCCTTAATAGGGATCCGCCTTTATGTTTATGTTTATGTATTTAGCAGACGCTTTTGTCCAAAGCGACTTACAAGTGATAATCGGCATGTTGCCCTTGAGGCTAACAACAACAATAACAACAACAACTTGACATCAATCATGGAGAGGAGGGGACAAGGAGTGGACAGTAGAGAGGGGGGACAGGTGCAGGGAGGGTGCTTGTTAAGAAGATGCTCTCTGAAGAGCAGGGTCTTCAGGAGTTTCTTGAAAATTGAAAAGGAAGCCCCTGTTCTGGTAGTGCTTGGAAGGTCATTCCACATTTGTGGAACGATGCATGAGAAGAGTCTGGATTGTCCTGAGCGTGGTGTAGGCACTGCTAGCCGACGATCCTGTGATGACCGGAGCGGCCGGGCCGAGACGTAAGCCTTTGCAAGAGGATTCAGGTAGATGGGAGCCGTACCATCTCGGACTTTGTATGCTAGTGTTAGCAATTTGAATTTGATGTGTGCTGCTAGCGGTAGCCAGTGGAGCTCAATGAACAGAGGGGTGATGTGTGCTCTTTTTGGCTGATTGAAGATCAGACGCGCTGCTGCGTTCTGGACCATTTGAAGAGGTCTCACAGTACAGCCTGGAAGACCAGTTATAAGGGCATTGCAGTAATCGAGGCGGGAGATGACAGTAGGTTGCACCAGGAGCTGGGTGGCATGTTGTGTTAGGTATGGTCTGATCTTTCGTATGTTATACAGCGCAAAGCGGCATGAACGAGCAACAGAGGCAACATGATCTTTAAAGGTCAGGTGTTCATCAGTCACAACACCCAGATTTCGAACTGCCTTTGAAGGAGCCAGAGGTAGGAAGTCATTTTGGATTGAGATATTGTGCTGCATGGATGGTTTTGCTGGGATGCCAAGTAGTTCAGTTTTAGAGAGGTTGAGTTGGAGATGGTGGGATTTCATCCATTTTGATATGTCAGAGAGACGGTTTGATATTCGAGCAGAGACAGTGTGGTCGACCGGTGGAAATGACAGAAAGGTTTAGTATGTCAGGGGAAAGGTTAGGGTTAACCCCTACATGTAGTTAAATGACTTGTATTTGTAAAGCACCTTCTTAGGGTTCTACAACCCCCAAGGCGCTTCACAACGCAACTAGTCATTCACACATTCACACACTGGTGAAGATGAGCTACAATGTAGCCACAGCTGCTCTGGGGCACCCTGACAGGCAAGGCCCACTGAACACTGGCGCCACTGGTCCCTCCGACCACCAGCAGCAGGCAAGGCGAGTTAGTGTCTTGCCCAAGGACACAACAGCAACATTCTGTGGTGGGATCTGAGATCGAACCTGCAACCTTCTGATTACTGGACAACCCGCTCTACCTCCTGAGCTACTGCTTGATAGCTTACTGAATGGCTTCAGTTGGAACCCAGTTACTTACGTTGAGTTTTATTGGGGTTTATACTGGGAATGCTGATCGCAGCAGCGAGCTGTAGCATTTCCAGTTCAACCTGGACCTCTTCCACAGAGATTGACCATTGTGGGTTTTTCTGTTGCCGGTGCCGATGTGTAAAGGTCACAGTCAGCCGTTAAAGCACAACTCTGCTAAAGAGGTATATCGGCCGATATATTGCTGGACGGTATATTGGTCTATCCCTACTTCCAGAATGTCTCTGTGAGAACAATAATGTTATACAAAATTAACAGCAGTATAAAAGTGTTATCCACTTGTTGTTGAAGTCGGTCAGAAAAACTCTTACTTTAAACTGAGGTCATTCAAAGAGCTTTCTAATAGATACAATTAAAAAAGACTCCTAAAGACGTCTGAACTATTCCTTTAAACAGGTCTTGTTGTTATCCGAGCCTCTTTCAGACAAACACTGCTTCCCAGCATTCTGACAACAAGCAAACGTTGCAGCATCATGTCAATCATTTCTTTAATGCTCATATGTGCATATAAGTTATTATTGTGTAATAAGTTTATTGAGATCTGGTAGAAACTCTTTTGTCCCCTAAAATCTACAGCTCTAGCTCACATTTATTACATTGCTGTTGTCTTGTTCTCATAATGTTTGCATTTAAAATAATTAGATTGATTTCTTATGAAGTTAACGCGCTTTGATGTGTGCACTTGCAGCCTGTTCAGGTCTTGATTCCATCTGTTTTCATTTTAGAACTGGTTTCGTGCGTCAACAAGCCAGGTGGTTTCCGGTAACAAGAGTAAAGTCCTGGAGAACAATGGGGTCAAAGCAGAGGTGAGGAACGGCACCACCACCAGTAAGAAGAGGGGCCGCAAACCTAAAGAGCGCCCCCTCATGGACAACCCAGTCCAAACACAAACAGAAGCCTTCACCACCACACAGAACTCAGCCCCTGCCGCGACCCCTCCCTCCGGCTCAGCACAGTCCCCCGCCTCCACCCCCGATCCAACGGACAGTGAAGGTTCCGTCCAGAACACGCCACCTGTCCTCGCCTCCACCAGACGAAGCAAACCCAAGAGATTCTTTTTGTCAGAGTAGCGCTGCTTTTGTTGTTCCAGGAGCCAGAGAGGATGCTTACCTTAAGGGCCTGGCTCTAAGAAGAAAGTCAAAATTAACCAGTTTAAAAAAATGCATTCTTTACATCTTGATTTTATACCCCAGAGTATGTTGGTGCACCAGTAGAAGCTGTAATCACAACAGTAGTGTTTAATTTCACCATTCCACTCCCGTCTCCCTTTTAAGGCACACATTTCAGTTTCTGTACTCGCAGCAGGAGGATCTATAGTATTCAGAGATCAAACCCCACTCTAACACACAGAGCAGTAGTATCCCCAATATAAGGACTAGTTTTCTCTGTGAGATTCAAAGTTGTGTCTGAGAGGATTTAAAAAATGATGTTTTTAGCATGGTGAAGTCATTTTATATTCGCTAGTGTTTTCTCTTTTGTTCACAGAAATATTGTACCGTGTACATAAACAGTATCTATATCTATATATCTATATACTCAAAGCAATGATGCCATCTATTATGTTTAAGCCAGACGTGTCCAGTTGGCTCATGAGCGATAGGAGTTGTTGCTATCCGTGATGGAGTGTGGTGTTTGTTTGGGTTTTTTACCTTTAAGTTGTCCTTTTTTCTACCTTTAGGGATTTTTTGTAAGCAAATGTCACATAAGCTAGTTGTTGGTCAGTTTTTAATCGTAAGCCACATTTTCTTCCACACCAGTTTCTTAATTACATTTGCTTTATGTATGATTGAAATCAGCCAAAAAAACACAATCATGGAAAAAGACGTTCCACGCTCTTTTAGGTTTATTATTTTCCACTATTGGAAATGGTTCAGATCTAAACTCAAGTGTACAAAAACACAACAGATTCCAGCATCACTCAAACAAAACCTGCTATTTCTCAGCGCATCGACCTCTGACCTTGGGTGAATTTTCCAGGTTTTCCACTTCTGGGGAAATTGGCAGCTGATGATAATCCCTGATGAGCAGCAACAGTTATGTCTCTGAGGCCATTGCTGACGACTTTACTCTTGGGCCTAGTGTCAACACACACCTGTATATTCCAGTAAAGCTGCTTTTATAGGTGTAATCACACATTACCAGTTACTTCAACGTGTTTAATCAGCAGCACCTGGCTGCCCTTTTCCCTCTTAATTCTTATAGAAGAGACATTTTACACGCTTCCATTTTGGCTTTGTTTTGTTTTTTAATAATGAACAAATTTTTGATAATTTTTTTTAATAAATACATTTAAATAATGTATTATAAATAATAATAATTTAAAATGTTCCCTATTTTATATATGTCATATAATTTTAATATTTTTGTTCTTGTGAAGAGCCCGGTGATTTTTATCTTGAGAGGCGCTATATGAAAATTGGTTTCTTATTCTTCTACATGGCGGATTCTGTTGTGTGTTTTTGTTTACTTAAGGTTGGATTTTAGTCATCTTTAAAACCTGTTTAAGGTCAAATTTTCTTTATTAAGTCCTGATGAGTTAAAGATTTGAAACGGGGCAGGCCTTCTTTTCCCATGACTGGTTGTGAAGCAGAATTTTCACAGACGGGAGCATTTAAAACATACGATCTGTTGGTTACAATGATATTTAATGCGAGACTGATCATTTTAAAATACATCTATCAAAGCTGAACTTTTAAAAGAAGAAGGAAATTTTGTTTGAAGGTTGTTGCATCTCTGCAGCACAAATAAATAATATCTTAATATTTTAAAGAAGGCACTTTGGCCACTGCTTTACCTTGAATCTAAGCCGAGGAAAGGATAAAAAATAAAAACATATATCTTTTTATAGAAAGATTGAGGATTTTATTGAACAAGAAAAAAAATCCAATTTACATTCTCAGAATATAATGTATATGAATAATTATTCGAAGCCTAAAGTTATTGCCTTGCACTTTAACCCTTTATCCTTCTTGCTCCCCCTCTTGTCTTTTTGCACTCTAGGACGATTGAATCTGTCCTAGTGGCTGTTGGCTACAGGAGTGGTAAACTCTTGGGGAAGAGTTGGAGGAAAAACGGCACGGTTAACTCTTTTTGTAAAGATTCTTACACGACGGTTAGATTATAATTTAACCCAGAAAGCCATAACTGGTATTCAAGAAGCTTAATTTGCTTTATATAGATTAGCTTCAGATTTGTTACAAAAAAAGTAGAATTCCTTAAAACGAGAGAATATTTTCACTTAAACATGTTTAAAGTAGATACTTGAGTTCACAGTTATATGAAAATAACTCAGCAAATGAAACTCCACTAGTTGATTTAAATGTGCAGTTTATGTCTATGAAATAATAACTTGCTTGCTTTAAAAAAAAAGACAGATTGTTAATCTATTTTATATTCTACTGTGTGTATTACCCAGATAGCAATCTGATAGTTTTGAATAAAACCGTGATCTGGGTATATTTTGGTGAGACAATAAGGGTGCTTTTACTTGCCACTTTACCTTAATGACCTGAAACAACTCGCCTGTACGTCCACTAACCCATCCATTCTGACTGGCAAGTTTCAGTTTTGCATCAAAATATCAACGTTTCAAAATCGAGCACGGATGTCAACAGAACCTCTTGGAGGGAGATGGAGTTATAAACGGTTTCATTCCAACACTGTGACTTTTTACAGTGTAAGGTGAAGCGTGTGTCTGGATTCCTCCATTACCAATCAGACTATGGAGGTTATACAGGTGATGGTGTTACTGTTGGAGGAATGGACCATCATCTGCTACCAAGGTGTAGTTACGAGCGGACTGGTCTGTGGACATTTTCAACACGAGTTGTCCACACTTTGTGTGTTTGCGTGTGTGTGTGTGTGTGTGTGTGTGTGTGTGTGTGTGTGTGTGTGTGTAATAAACAGTTAGCACCTTTGTAATGACTGGACGTCAGACATGGTAACACTCTAGCTGAGTGTTACGCTGTGGCACAGAGTCAGTTTGTAAGCTGCTTGTTTCTTGTTTCATGAACGACTTTGCGTTGACCGTGCTTTACCCGACAAGCTTTGGTGTTGCAATATGATAGTTTAGCACTGCTTTTGACAGTGAGTATTTTATATTTCATCACGCCCTTTACTATCTGTCTTCCTAAGACGTGGAACACACATGTATCCCTGCAGTGTGAGCAGACTGCAACATGTTTAGAGAGTACAGCAATACATCATATTTAGCTGATTTTGTTGGCTTGCTAACCTTTTGATATTCACGCGTCCCCTCGAAACTCTACAGCTTTTCTCTCTTCCTGACCTTTGTTTGCTTTGAAAATGCTTTTTACTTAATATAAATCTAAACAGAAAGAGTTTAAAAAACGAGAACCTAGTAGGCCTACGTGTTGGCACACACTGTTATTTAATCCATTTTGATGATGCACATAAAAAGATGCAGCTTTTTCAGTACATGATGGCAAACACATTAAAGGGTACTTTATCATTATGTATTGAATATGAGGCAACAAGGCATATGTATGTGTTTGTTTCTGTATTAGTGCACTTACTATAACATAAGATAGGCTTGAAATAGGAGTGTTGTTGGAGCTTTCTAGTTTCCTGGACTGTGTGTGTGGTGTGAGTTTTGTACCTGAGGAAACAGGAGGCTCAAGTGTCTTCCCTTTTGTTAGCAATGTTATTTCTGAAACCGAGGTTGATCCTTAGGAATCCCCTCACAGCTCCTGAAGTTCGCCCTTTTATTTGGACAGCAGTGGCTTGTTTTATATGCTACCTACTTGAAAAGCAGAAACGGGGGTCTGTTGCGGGGCTTCTGTGATGAGACACTTGAGAGTTTTATGGGATAATATTTCAGCTCATAATTGTTTGATACATAGGCAACAAATAAAAGACTAATTATGTATTAAAGATTTCCATATCAGAAGTTAAGCTGTATAGTACCTAACACTGGAGGAAGTAACGCCTCCTTTGTGTCTGAACTGTTACAATTTTTCTCCCGATCTTGTTGTATTACCTGTGCATTAGTACCCCTCAACTGATTAATAAAAGTTTGTTGACTAAACCTGTGTCATTTTTCTGAGTACCAGTGAAAACACAAGATGAATGCAAGTTCTGGATGAAAACGGCAAATGACCTGTTTGTGTATAATGCCTTTCTGAGTCAGAGGACTCCAAAGCACTTTACACTACGGTCAGTCATTTAAACAATGATGGTGTAAAGCTACATCGTAGCCACAGCTGCACTGGGGCGCGCTGACACGCAAAACTGTATCTTTTTGAAGAATTTTTATATATAATGTAACAAACATGCAGAATCAGGACATACTAAACAATATTAAAGGAGGTAAAGGTTATCAACCAGGTACCACGGGCAGGGGGCATTCTGAAGAGCATTAGGTTTGCCATAAGTGACACAACTAGTATGCAATTTTTCTTCATTTAGGGTGGGTGAAGATGCAAAGTAGTGATGCAAACACATTAACCCCAAAACTGCCAAAGTGGACTCTGCCTGAGACTGTTATTTTTGACAATGGTCTTTGGAATACCCCCTCTGTACAGGGTTCGCTTACACAGAAATTAAAATAAATAAAATATCACTCCTAAACTTTTGCTAAAATTTGCAGCCCTGCACTCACTGCCAAATTTGGGAAAGGCCCTGCATGGTTTTAATACTGTACCGCATTTTAACTGTAAGGGTGCGACCTGCATTGTGGGACTTGGAGTCCGACTGTGGCCCGGTGCCGTTTTGCACCTAGCGGAGATGGACAAAACGCCTACAGTTCCCATAATGCCTCAACGCTTGCCCGACTCTCCCAACACCTGATCGTCAAGAAGCAATAATGTCTGCCGCTAGCGTGGAGGAAAGACTCGCTCAGATGGACAACGAGGAGAAAAGCTGCTCTGTTTCCAACAGGTATCACCTGTAGGGACTTGGAGATTAGCTCAGAGAAACAGGAAACGTGTTTAATCAGGGTTTTAAATTGTCTTCGTATTTATTATTTTGTTTAGTGTTTTGCTACTGGTGGCTAAGCATCTTTACGGTGTTACGGAATCGAGATCACTCGCCTCGTAAGTTAAAGGAGTCTACTTACGTGACATTACGTAACTGCAAATAATTAGCTCAACATTTTTAGGTTATTACCAACTCCCTATAAACCTGACCCTGCTCGGTCTGAGGTCGGGCTGCTAACAGGGCTGAGGGACAACATTGTCAGTGATCTGCCCATTTGCTGTTAGATATGACAGAAGCAGCCAGAGATACATGAATTGTCACAGTCGGAACTTACTTCAGCTCGGAGAAAATAGCCTTTGTGCGTTTCCATGTGGATTACCAAAATGATGTTGTTACCTTATAAATTCGGTCAGAAAGTACAATAACGTTAATTCAGGTGACTAATAGTGTCATTGTTTTATAAACGTGTCAAATGCGCGTATAATAAGCTGTGCATCACATTCGCCTGAACGTCAGTACCAGATGAAGCCACCAGAGGGCACTTCTAGCCTGCTCCATGAAGTCACAACCAAAACAAACTCACTCGAGCCTTTAATTTAGGAAAACCCTGCTCACATTGAACTGATGAGAAATAGCCTCATGCACCTTTATAAGAGGCACGACAACCTGCAAGAAAATTCCAGAAAACCTTGGTAGTTTTATGTACTCCTGTTCTGTTTTAGTCATTTTAAATTCTTGCTTTTGTAGACACCCATCCTTTTTGTCTAGATCACAAAGTCCTTTATTTATTTAGAGAAACAGCACTTTCACTGGGGAAGAAGTTTCAAATGAGTGTGTGGAGTTTGCTGGTGATGGATTATGTTTTTCCAGAAGGATAACGGGAAGCATTCCAAGTTGGAGTCATGTTGAAAAACTATTTCTGAAGAGCAACCACTGGCTGCATTCCATTTCTAAAACATACGTTTATGTGAGTTGTAGCTTGTTTATCATTAAACCTTCCATGGTGTGTTGTATTTAATGAGCCTTGCATCTGTGTCTCTGTAGAGAGGTGGCTGAATGTTTGACATAGCAACTGGCACAGGCTTCTTGTTTCAGCGTGGCTTCCGTGTGCTGCAGCTGTCTTGTGACGACATTAAAGCTGCAGCAGCAGTCCCAGAACCAGTCGCCTCGTTTCTTTCCTTCTGTGATTTCAACAAACAGGAAACAAACAAAAGCTCTTGTCAGGCAGAAATCAGAGATCCTGGAAAATCTTTGATGTCAAATAAATCTAATAGCGTCTTTAACCTGTGGCTTTTGTACTGTGGGCTGCACAGATTAGGAATTTCAGTTAGACCTCTGTGATTTTTAGGAGGATTAGGATTTGTTTTCCTGTTGATGCTGGTCTTGGCCCAGGAGGAGAGTCGGTTGTGGTGTTGTGTGCTCGTGCTGCAGACTTTCAGCTGATCGGGCTGTAGTGTCTGGTTTCATCACGCTGTTTATCTCCTCATCGTGTGTGTGTGTGTGTGTGTGTGTGTGTGTGTGTGTGTGTGTGTGTGTGTGTGTGTGTGTGTGTGTGTGTGTGTGTGGTGCTGACATCTCCAGACTTAGTGGAAGGCAGAGACATGAAGAGTCTCTGCAGGGTACAAGCACATCACGTCCTCCCTGTCCTTCTCTTGTCTCCCCCCTCCTCTCTCTCCTATATTTCTCTCCCTCCTCGATCTCACCTCCCACCAACGCAGCCTGAGGCGTTTCCTTCATGTTTCCAGTCAACATCAGAGAAGAATCATAGCTATTTATCCATTTTATGTTCCTGTTGTCAATTTTTATGTCGTTTTTTTCCCCTCCGTTTATTTTCCTCGGGGTCTCAGTCACTCCTTTTTGCTCCCACTTGTCCTCCAGCAACAGGTTGTGTGTGCCAGTTGTGGGGAGGCTTGGCTCTAACTTGATGCTATTAATACAAGCTAATGAACAGAATCTGGAGGGTAGGTGATCCTCTCAGGTTTGTTGGCTGGACATTGAAGGGGAGGAGCAGGAAAAGAGGAGGGAAAAGCTGCTGCAGCGGTTTCACCACCCGTCCTTTCCTCCAAACAGAGCCCTGCTGGAAAAATGGAAGAATCTGAAACCTAAACAGATGCTTTAAGTTTCGTTTCTTACACAAGTCGACAGCACTGAACACTTTAAGTCTCCATATCTCTCTGGACGTTTTGCAACAGAGGGCGGGCCTGTTACATGTCTAATTGTTCTTTGGTGTATGGAGCTTTTGGCGTACCTGTAGGCAGTTAAACACGACCGGAGCCTGAAATATTCCCTCCAGTTATGAACTCTCTACCAGCTTACTCAGGAGCTAGGATATCTGGCTGTTGGACTTTAAGAGCTGATGGCAGGTAAGTGTTTATTTTCTCCGTGATTAGAACTAAGTTCCAGTTCTCCAAAGTTCGTTTTATTATAAATGTACACATGTGAGTAACCCTAATACTGTTTCATCTCATATATTGATGTTTCCGATCAAGCACGTGTGTCAGTGTATTTATTTTTTTTGTTCTGCAAAGGTATTTCCTCTCTTCATCTGAACTCTGACCTCTGGTCAGAAGTACAGTTATTTGATGTCCACGAGCAGTACATTCTGAGTTTAGACTCAGATCAAAGGCATGAGTCAGCAGGTTTGGTTTTAGCCGATAACCCCGTAGTGTGTGTGTGTGTGTGTGTGTGTGTGTGTGTGTGTGTGTGTGTGTGTGTGTGTGTGTGTGTGTGTGTGTGTGTGTGTGTGTGTGTGTGTGTGTGTGTGTGTGTGTGTGTGTGTGTGTGTGTGTGTGTGTGTAGCTTAGTCCACTCCCTGGCTCTGTACCAGCCCTGGGGACCCTGCAGCGATAAGATAAACGTTTTCTTTTTTCTTGTCTGCTTGACCTTTGACCCGAGCGTCCCACCTGAGGAGGTATAAAACCCACGTGGGAACACAAAGGGAAGAGTTTGTTCTGTCGTCATGGCCTCAGGTGGTTTACAGTCCTCTCTAGGTGAAGTGTGGATGTCTCGAATAATACAGTGAGTGTTTTCAGGAACTGTCAGCAGGATGTTTTGTGTCGTTTTAAAATGAAACATCTGATATATTTATTTAAGTCCGGAGCGTTTTGTGCTTTTTTAGTCAAAACAAAGGGTTCTGTAAACTAAACCTGGTTAGTCTGTTGTTGGTGAGTAATCTACAACGACCTTCCTCTGTTGCAGTTTCATATTTTAGATGAAGCAACCGTTTTTCTTCTGTAGAAATGAAACTCTTCCACAGATGTAGAGCTTTAGGTCACATGACACTTGCATCAGGGTGCTTGCTGTAATCAGGATTGCTGCCTTGCTAAAGTTGGGTCTGACCACTTTGTTCAGCTGGATTTGTTTATGTAAATGTCCTTTCTTCTCCCTCTAGAGCCCTTTGCATGTCATTTTTTTTTATTCTACTTACTGTGGTGAAAAGTGACTCTGGAGGGAGAGCTAGCTCCAGCCACTTGCAGAGAGATGGATAAAAATCAATAAATGGCTTTCTTTTCAGACTTGGAGAAATCCTGCTCCCTGATTACACTCTAAATATTTTTCTATCCCAGAGTTAATCTTTGTAACATTAACCCTCTCAGGCTCAAAATAAGTTTTGATAAAAGGATAAACAATTAAGTCCTTCACTGATACTTCTGAGTTAAAAAAAATGTTCATGAAATACGTATGTGGAGTAACCAGGTAGGTAGGTTTTAATGTTGCAAATCTGCAACGCCTGCCTCCAGAGGGTTAAAAAAGTTCAATAAGACTTTTATATTCTTAGTTTTTTTGTACTTGAATGTTTTTATGAAGTAAAATGAAGATCTTTTTTACAAGCTTAGACTTTAAATCACATCTCATCACATGTACTGTATATCCTTTTGTTATCTGCAGCAGTGTTTTTCTACAAGAATGGACAAAGTTCACCTGCTTAAGATGTGAAGAACTAAATATTAACCCAACACCTGTGCAGTCTTTTGCTCCTGAGTTTGAAACTTAAATTATGTTTGTTTGATGCCTGAAAAGGCTCCAAACACTGAAACATGGTGACATAAATAAGGTCCATCCAACCATTTTCATCTGCTTACCCGGAGTCAGGTCGCGGGGGCAGTTGCCTAAGTTGAGAGGCCCAGACTTCCATCTCCCCAGCCATTTGGGCCAGCTCCTCCGGGGAAATTCCAAGGAGTTCCCTGGCCAGCTGAGAGACGTGGTCCCTCCAACGTGTCCTGGGTCTACCTTTAGGCCTCCTCCCGGTTGGACGTGCCCGGAAAACCTTACCAGGGAAGCGTCCAGGAGGCATCCTGACCAGATGCCCGAGCCACCTCAACTGGTGCGTCTCGATGTGGAGGAGCTGCGAATCTACTCTGAGCCCCTCCCGGATGACCGAGCTTCTCACCCTATCTCTAAGAGAAAGCCCAGCCACTCTGCAGAGAAAACTAATTTTAGCCGCTTTTATCCGCAATCTCGTTCTTTTGGTCACTACCAAAGCTCATGACCATAGGTGAGGGTAGGAACGTAGATCGACCGGTAAATCGAGAGCTTCGCCTTCTGACTCAGCTCTCTCTTCACCACGACAGACTGGTACAACGCCCGCATCACTGCAGATGCAGCACCAATCCACCTATCGATCTCACGCTCCAGTTTTCCCTCACTCGTGAACAAGACCCCGAGATACTTAAACTCCTCCACTTGGGGCAGGACCTCATCCCTGACCCGGAGAAGGCATTCTACCCATTTCCGAATCAAGACCATGGTCTCAGAGAGAAGCTGATTCTCATCCCAGCTGCTAGATTGGTTGGGCAAAATCCCACGCACCCTCCAGGGTCCTCCTAAGGGTATACAGCTGGTCCAGTGTTCCACGGCCAGGACAAAAACCACATTGCTCGTCCTAAATCTGAGGCTCAGGAGTGTGATCCCTATAGTTAGATGCGGTCCCCCTTTTAAATAAGGGGACCACCACCAGTCCATTGGGACTGCCCCCGATGTCCATGTGATATTGCAGAGCCGCATCAGCCAACACAGCCCCACAACATCCAGAGCTTTGAGGAACTCCGGGCGGATCTCATCCACCCCTGGAGCCTTGCCACAGAGGAGCTTTTTAACCACCTCAGTGACCTCAGCACCAGAGATTTGAGAGGCCAACCCAAAGTCCCCAGACTCTGCTTCCTCACTGGAAGACTTGTCGGTGGGATTGAGGAGGTCTTCAAAGTATTCTGCCCACCGATCCACAACTTCCTTAGTAGAGGTCAGCAGCACACCGTCCCCACTATAAATAGTGTTGGTAGCGCACTGCTTTCCTCCCCTGAGGTGCCAGATGGTGGACCAGAATCTCCTCAAAGCCGTACAGAAGTCTTGCTCCGTGGTCTCACCGAACTCCTCCCATGCCCAGGTTTTTGCCTCATCGATCACCCGAGCTGCATTCCACTTGGACTGCCGGTACCCGTCAGCTGCCTCTGGAGTACCACAGCCCAAAAAGACCTGATAGGACTCTTTCTTCAGCTTGACAGCATCCCTAACCACCAGTGTCCACGAGCGGGTTCGGGGGTTGCCACCACGACAGGCACCGACGATCCTGCGACCACAGCTCCGGTCGGCCGCCTCAACAATGGAGGCACCGAACAGGGTCCATTAAGACTCAGTGTCCCCCACCTCCCCGGAACATTTTGGAAGTTCTGTCGGATGTGGGAATTGAAGCTCCTTCTGACAGGAGACTCTGCCAGATGTTCCCAACAGACCCTCGCGATACGTTTGAGCCTGCCTGGTCTTACTGGCATCCACCTCCACTATCTGAGCCAACTTACCACCAGGGAGTGGTCAGTTGACAGCTCCGCCCCTCTCTTTACCCGACTGTCCAAGACATGCGGCCGCAGGTCAGATGAATCAACAACAAAGTTGATCATCGAGCTCTGGCCTAAGGTATCCTGGTGCCGTGAGCACATATGGACGTAGCAGTTCTGGCGTGCATGAAAGGTTATGCTGTGTCAATTTGATGGTGAAAATTGACCCTTTTTATTCATTACAACATCTTTATGTCTGAACATGGTGTTCATTATGGACAATCCATGACTAGCACAGAAGTCCAATAACAAAACACCACTCGAATTTAGATCATGGTTCCTCCCAACCACACCTCTCCAGGTCTCACTGTCGTTGCCCACTTGAGCGTTAAAGTCCCCCAGCAGAACGAGAGAGTCACCGGAAGGAGCGCTCTCCAGCAGGCCCCCCACCCAAGGTCTCCAAAAGGGGTGGGTAGTCTGAACTGTGTTTTGGTGCATAAGCACAGACCACAGTCAGAACCCATCCTCCCCACACATAGGCGGAGGGAGGCTACCCTCTCATTCATCCTCTCATAACCGGCTGGGCTCCATGGATGAAAGCCCGGCCATCAGGCGCTCTCCAATGTGCTCCACCTCCAGGCCTGGCTCCAGAGGGAGGCCCCGGTGACCCGCGCCCGGGCGAGGGAACACTGCTTCCATTTATATTATTCATCATAAGAGGTCTTTGGGCTACTCTTTGTCTGACCCCTCACCTAGGACCTATGGGTCACCTGTGGGTGACAGTTTAAAGCGTCAGGCAACTTAGGTCCTAGGATCATTGGGACACTCAAACCCCTCCACGACGATAAGGTGGCACACCAGGGAGAGGATGTAAATAAGGTCTTTGACATAAACTCATTTCATATAAAAGTGAAAAACACTGAATTATAACGAGGTGAGATGCAGTTTTCATTCGAAGGACACCAATCGGAGAGTTTTCTTTTCCCAACAGTGGTGTGATTTATTTATTTATTTATTTATTTTGTGTGTTTCCAAAGCGGAGGTGGGGATGGATCGCTGGACCGGCTCCTTCCCTCCGTCAGCATGGGCATTTCTCCCAGGAAACGAACCACCAGTCAGTGTAAATCTGAGCCTCCTCTGCTGCGAACCTCCAAACGGACCATCTACACGGCAGGTCGGCCGCCATGGTACAACGAGCACGGAACACAGTCCAAAGAAGCCTTCGTCATTGGTAAGAAGTTAGCAAGTTTTGTTATTTAGATTAATAAAAACACCTTAGATTAGATTAAGTCCTAAAAAAAGAAAATATTATTTAATTCTCATCATTCATTAAGAAACGAGGTAATGGTGACTCAGCATCTGGAGGAATTAAACTTCCAAACCAGCTCTAAAATCTAAAATATCAATCAAATCAAAGCTTTATTTATAGAGCGCCTTCTGCAACCCTGTCAGGGAGCCCAAGGTGCTGGAATGCAGATCACAATAAATAAGTAGATAAATGCAAATAAAATGGTGAAAAGAGGATTAAAACAGAGTAAAAAACAAGTAGATAAAACAAGGGATAAAATCAACATAAAAGAGGGCCAACCTCAAACATGTTCAGGGAACGCCAAGTAGAAGAAGTTTGTTTTCAGACGACTCTTAAAAACCAGCAGAGATGGGGACAGCCTAACTAAGGGTGGCAATTGGTTCCAGTGTGACGGAGCTACGACTGAGAAAGCCCGATCCCCACGAGTCCGACACCTAGAACGAGGGACAGCGAGCAGGCCTTGGTCAGAGGAGCGCAGAGCACGTGATGAAGAATGTCTGTTCAGGAGCGTGGCTAACCACCCTGGAAGAAATTGAAAACAAAAACCAGGAGTTTAAAGCGAGAACGATAAACTGGAAACCAGTGCAGGGAGGCCAGAACTGGACATATGTGGTCCCGTTTCCTGGTCCCAGTCAGAAACCTGGCAGCGCTGTTCTGCACAACCTGTAGGTGACACAGTGATGACTGACACAGCCCTGCATAGAGAGAGGTGCAGTAATCAAGCCTAGAAATTACAAAAGCATTGAGTACCCGCTCCAGTTGGGCTCTTGACAGCATAGGCTTGATTAATAGTTGCACACATTTGAATTTCTAAAAATAAAATGATCTTACAGGTAGAGATCTTACATTAATACACACACACACACTATTTACATCGATCCTTTAACTTTACTGAGATAATTTAACTGTTTAAATAATAATAAAGCTGTCGGACTGTAATGAGGTGTGTGGTTCTTCCTGTTCTTTACTTTTTTATTTTACTTGTTTGTTTTTGCGGAGTTGTAATTTCTAAAGCTCAGGCTAAATGATCACTGGAGGAATTTTCAAAATAAAAGCGGGAAGCAGACATGAATGTTTTTCATGGATATATCAGATTTTCCTGCAGAGCCACTGCTGGCGGTGAAACGTCCCAAACGATGCTTTTAAAATGTGTGTGAGTTTTATTTCTGATCTCATGATGAGTTTTGTTCTCTCTCAGGTCTGTGTGGCGGCAGCGCTTCAGGGAAAACAACCGTAGCCAGAAAAATCATCGAAGCCTTAGATGTTCCATGGGTTGTTTTACTCTCCATGGATTCTTTTTACAAGGTGTGTGTGTGTGTGTGTGTGTGTGTGTGTGTGTGTGTGTGTGTGTGTGTGTGTGTGTGTGTGTGTGTGTGTGTGTGTGTGTAAATGTCATATTTGGATTTTTTTTTACTTTCATTCAAAAGATTAAAATCATAACTTAAGATGAGTCTTTTTGTGTCTGTGGCTGCTCCCCCTAACCAGCCTTGGGGCATAAGAAGAAGAAAGAGCTGGAGCATAAATAGGAAACTCTTTGAATGCAGGAAGGGAGGATAGAGGAAAGGAAGGAAGACAGAATGAGTAAAGAGCCAGCAGACGGGGAGACAGCTCTCACCCACTCAGGTTGTGTAATGCTGTCAAACTCTGACAGCGGGGGGTTGGGGGTCATGAACTGGACAACAGGAGAGATCAACCACTGCTGCTTATTATTTACCCACCTTGATACTGGAAATGTGTTCACTTCTCTAGTTTATCTCAGTTTCCAGTGTAGCTCACCAGCCAGTTTATCATAATCAGCACTAAGTATGTAATCAGCTTATTTAAAACGGGGGTGTCGCTGTTCCTGCAGGTCTGGGTTACACACACACACACACACACACACACACACAGACGTCACACAGACACATGATGTCCTCCTAATTTTAGGTTCCCTAACTTGAACTGCTCTCGAACTCTGTTCTGTGTTTTCACCCAATTCCGTGTGTGTTATGTCTCTGAGGGATGTTTGCTGGATTTCAGCGCATTTACAAAAGGCTGCTTGATTTATTTTCATGTACAGAGGAAGTAATTTGGTAGTTTTGTGTGTCGTTCCTCAGGTTCTTTCTCCAGAGGAGCAGACCCTGGCTGCCAGTAACGACTATAACTTTGACCACCCTGATGCCTTTGACTTTGGTCTGCTCACACACACTCTACGTAAACTCAAACAGGGCAAAAGTGTGAAAATCCCCGTGTACGACTTCACCACTCATGGGAGGCAGAAGGAGTGGGTGAGGATGAATGCTCACTGGCTGGATAGATGTTTATTAATCCAGTTTAATCTCAGTTTTTCATTCATGCTCATATCTCCAGACGGGACCCGGCTGCCTGTTGTTTGTCCATATGAAGATTTTTATTCTAAGTTTCTTCACTTCAGAAAACCGTTTATGGAGCGAGTGTTATCATATTTGAAGGAATCATGGCCTTTGCGGATAAAGAGCTGCTCAAGGTAAAGTTGTTTTTAGCATTTTTAATGATTATTTTTATTTTCCTGCCAGTATTTAAACAGAATGGAGCTTCAAGGACACACAAGCCAGTGTCAGACGGATAGATGCAGATGTTTGTAGCTAACATGTCCATGCATGTCCACAAGAGACCTGTCACTCATGTCAGATGTTCCACGTTCTTGTTAATCCAGTTTACCTAGCTCATCCCTGACTGACAGGTATTTCTTGTCTGATCTCTTAACATCTTTTTACGCGTTCTGCCTCGGCATTCCAGGAATACAGAATGAGGAAGCTGGATGTGTGTGGTTGGTTAAAGTTCAAGTCCCATTAGTCATCACACACTGGTGAAATTACATCTCTGTGTGTGACCCATCCCTGTGGGGAGCAGTGAGCTGCAGCAGTGGTTGCGCTCAGGAACTATTTGGTGGTTTAACCCCCAATCCAGCCCCTTAAAGTGTCACGCAGGAAGGCATTGGGTCTCATTTTTAAAGTCTTTGATATGACCCAACTGGGATTTGAGGCCTGATCTCCCAGTCCCAGGGTGGACAATACCCTTAGGGCACTGAGAAGGAGAATTAGTTGACTATCTTTATTAAATCAGCGTTTCCCCTGAGCATAATGAAGTATGGACTTGTGTTGGTATGGCCCTCGGGCTCCTGGATAATGTACCTGCTGGACGGGGAACGCTGGTCCGCAGCAGGCGTAACCAAAAAGACCAATAAGGGGAGGGGTAAGTTCAGCCAAAGGAAACACATGAATCAGGTTTTTTCAGAATAAAACTAGTTGAATTCTTTCTGATTTTGATTAGAAAAAACTGGAAAAAGATAAAATCTGAATTTTAATTTTCTCTTTTGTCCACAGTTGTTGGATATGAAGATCTTTGTAGAGACAGACTCTGACATCCGCTTAGTGCGCCGACTCAGGAGAGACATCACAGAAAGGGGCAGAGAAATCGAGGGCGTCATCAAGCAGTACAACAAGTTTGTGAAGCCGGCGTTCGAGCAGTACATCGAACCGACCATGCGCCTGGCTGATCTGGTGGTCCCACGTGGTAAGTGCTCGCAGCTTTACTATAGAGTACAGGTCCTGATGACATCACAGCAGCCATGGAGGAGGAAGCCCTCTTTGCTGCTGTTTCTTCACTCGTGTCTCGTTTTGAATCTAGACTGTTTGTGTTTATTTCTGTTTTAAACCCCGTTATTAGTAAATGATTACTTCTGTTCTTCCATCTGTCGTCCTGTCAGGCGGTGGCAACATGGTAGCCATTGATCTCATCGTGCAGCACGTTCACAGCCAGCTGGAGGAGGTAGGAAAGGTCACAGCATAGAAAATACAGTTACTGGTTTCAGTAGAGCCTCAGTGCTTTGTGTTCCTTACTGTTGTTTTTGTTTGGGTTTTATGTCTTTATGACACTGTTGATTAACTTCACTCCCATATTTGTGCAAAAGCTCCTCAGAATTCACCCACTAGCATTGTTGCTCCCTCTAGTGGACAGATATTATACTGCATAGGCTCTAGTGAGGGCTGATGGCACCGGCTTTGTTTTTGTACCTCATTAAAGAAGTTTGTTTATGTTTATGTTTATTCATTTAGCAGACGCTTTTATCCAAAGCGACTTACAATTTACAACCTATAGGGCATGTTGTGATCTGTGGGGGAAACCGGAGTACCCGGAGGAAACCCACGCATGCATGGGGAGAACACGCAACTCCACGCAGAAAGGCCGCAGCCGAGTTTCGAACCTGCAACCTTCATGCTGCGAGGCAACAGTGCTAACCACTGCGTCACCATGCAAGAAGTCATAGTTATCGTCATGATCTGAGTCTTAACCACCAAGCCAGTGGAAACTACTCCTGCCTTTAGGACAGAGTGATGAGTAAATCACTTGACAAAATGATTGTTTCTCAAATTAAATTTGTTTTTTAAGAGGAAATCATGTTATTGGACGTTGTTAATTCGTTGCTGTGTTTTTGCGTTCACCCGCCTCCAGACGTTTCACTCACACACATCATAGATGGGATATGTAAATGTTGTGATTACACCAGCTGATTAGGGATCAGATTAGAAGCCATGCACCTCTGGCCTTTAGGGTGTTGCTTTTTGAGTAACAAGTGACCATATTTAGACAACAAAGAGACACACAGACGGTTACTGGCTCAGTGCTCGCTCTGGTTATCAGCATGTTTCTAAAGATGGATGGTGGGTATCTGCCACAGGTGCTGCCTTGCAGAAAACTTGCTACCAGCCGGCTTTGTGAGACCCCTTCACACAATCAGAAACATATTAATAAATAAACGTTTGTAGATAAAAGACGAGACCTACATGATTCAACAGAAATACACTTATCTGAGGTGTATTTTAATATTTTAGTCAGAAAACTTCCATTTATTTACATGGAGAGGGCGGGGCTTAAAACGTCATTCATGTTGGGTGCTTGTATAAATGGACATCCACACACTAGAGCGCTCTGGCTTAACTGGGAAAACAACACATCAAACTGGCTTTTGGTTTGTCGTACAACCTCCACTAATCAGCAGCAGCCAGAGGCACATTTTGTCTGTGGTGAGTGTGTCTGTAACACACACAGTATCACACATGCTGCTGATGGATTGTTCTCTCACCCCTCCTCCCCCATCTCCCTCACCCTCTGCGACTCACAGCGCGAGCTCAGCGTCAGGTAGAGTGGCCTTTATTCCGACTGTCACCCTCTCCTTTACTTCCTCCCTGTTCATCCTGCTTCAGAAAGAAAGCTGAGCTGAACCCACCTTTACTCTGCTGGCTGCCGTGCCGTGCCACCAGGTGGCGCTGTTGCATCTTTAAGCCCACTGTGATTGGTACCCAGCTGTAAGTTCTGGTAAACCTGGATCCACGCCAGCGTGGACTCAGCACAAGTTTAAAAGCTAGTTTGTGGGAAAAGTTTAAAAGTGGTGCAGCCAGCATTCATTGAAAGGTGTTGGTTCTCTTTGTGTTTTATAGAAATGGCATCTCACACTCTTCCTGCCTCCTGTGACTAAAAATACACCCACGATTCGAGCCACTGACCCCTCCTTTCAGTGTCAACGAGAGAAAGGGAGAGAGAGAGACACTAGCAGAAAGAGCGAGAGAGGAAGCTCTCGCTGCTGCTATTGTTGATTATCACATACCTCAGCCACAGAGAAAGTTTCCAATACTACAAAGCTCTTGAGTTTTTCCATTGAATGTCGGCCACAGCATATGAGACCGACACAGAGAGGAAGTGAGCTTGGTGTCTGTCTTTAGACACAGGATGTGCCGGGGCCTGTGAGCTGAAATACCAACCTTTACTGTTCGACATGGTGAAAGAGTGACAGCCGCACAGTCGCTTGTGCACCTCCCACGCGTACACACACTGGATGCTCGCGTGTAGATATCAGAATCTGATCCAAAGCTCATGCTGTTTTTCTGATTTTTGCATCTGCAGAGAACTTTCAAAGCACAACCGTCTCAGAATCGTGCAAAACACACACACACACACGTGCGCGCATACACAGATGAAAATGAAACATTTAAATATTTAATTTATTTTTCTTACACATCTATATGATTGCGCCTCAGCTGTCTCCCTTTACACTGTGCCTGATGAACCTTCATCCCTTCATCCACCTGTTGTTGCCTCTTCTCATTTTTTTGTCTTTCTCTTATCTGTTGTCCCCTCCTGTGTGACTGTCATTTTTTGTCAAAAACCTTCTCCGCTTAGAGGAAACTTCGCTGGGATATGTGAGCAGTTTTTGCTACGGTTTCTCCTTTCCTGCTAACCTTGTAGACGCTGTAGCATCAACACATTTGCATCACTGAGTATTGATAACAAAGTGTCCATCCCTGTGAGACAAACGCAGACCCAAAGAGTTAGCGTGTGTTTGTGGAGGCCTATCATGGAAAACAATCACTCTGACTTGATTTGCTTTTATTAGCTTGATGTTGTTGGAAAATGTAAGGTTTTGTTTGGGTTGTGACTCTTTTCCATCATCATGGTCTCTGTGGGCCGTCCACTGACCCGGTGTGCTGTGCAGTCTGTCGTTTGTCCTAGTTAGATTGGCTACACTATTTTTATTAACTTTGCTTCAACTACAACAAAAAAACAACTACTTCTATTTGCATGTGTGTGTTTTTGTCTGCATGCTCCATTGTCTCTGAATGTGAAAAGCAAGCGTGTGTGTGCACGCTCCTGTGTGAACCTGCACAAGCATTAATTGCACTCATTTTCACTCTGTCCATCTTCCTTTCTTTTCGCTGCTCTCACCCGTTGCCACCCCCGCATTACTATTTGTTGCCGTGGTTACAGGGCAGCCCTGGCTTCGGCGCACCAGGCCCAACCCCTCCCCCAGACCCTCAGCGTTCTAGAGAGCACCCCTCAAGTCAGGGGCATGCACACTATCATCAGGTAAAAGCCGAGAAGCTCATTAGTGTGTTTTTAACAACTCCACATGCTTCTGAATAAAACCGTCTGCTTGTTTCTTTACTCATCATCTCGTCTAGAAACAAGGAAACCAGCCGAGATGAGTTCATCTTCTATTCTAAGAGGCTGATGCGCCTGCTGATTGAGCGAGCACTCTCCTTCCTCCCCTCACAGGTGTGTGTGTGTGTGTGTGTGTGTGTGTGTGTGTGTGTGTGTGTGTGTGTTTGTGTGTGTGTGTGTGTGTGTGTGTGTGTGTGTGTGTGTGTGTGTGTGTGTGAGATTTGGTTGGAGTATGACGAAGACTGATTGAGTTTGGCGAATATTACTTTAGTCTAAGACATCAGTGTAGAAACATCTCACCACAGTGGAAAGTTTTATGCCTGAATTATGCAGCCTTGGTTTTACACACACACACACACACACACACACACACACACGCACGCACGCACACACACCAGGTTATAGTGTTCTGAAGCAGCTCACACTCTCGTTGTGATCTCAGATCCACATCGTCCAGACTCCTCAGGGAGAGGACTATGTAGGCAGGACGTTCTACGGGAAGAGGGTAAGGGCACCTTTTCCTTTTAAGGACCGTTTAAAAAATATTCCTTTCCAGCTAATTATTATTTTTAATTATTATTATTATTATTATTTTGCTGTTTCAGGTCACAGGCGTGTCCATCCTGCGCGCCGGGGAGACCATGGAGCCAGCTCTCAGGGCTGTATGTAAAGATGTCCGCATCGGCAAGATCCTCATCCAGACCAATCAGGATACGGGAGAACCCGAGGTACCAAGCTCCATCAGACACACACACACACACACACACACACACACACACACACACACACACACACACACACACACACACACACACACACACAAGGATTTAACCTGGAGCGCATTTATCTGAATGTTCTGTTGTTCTTTCTATATCTACACAGAAATAATAAATTAACTTTAAAAAAGATTTTATAAACTTCTCTCTGAACTGATGATAAAATAAAAACACTGAAGAGCTCATGCGTCTGGTGGTGTTATTGACTGAATTAGTGGTATTTTTCTGCTAAACGTTATAAAACTATTACACAGTAAGCTCTTGATTATTTGACATAGTTATTACATTTTTATTTTCCTACCTTAAATCAATGTTATATTTACAGTCTAATGACAGCAGTTGGAGACGTTCTTTTTTATTTAAAGAAGGCGTTTGATCTGTTAAATCACAACATTCTCATCAATACATCATCTGTTTGAACTTTAGCTGGACAACATTACAGTGGCTTTGGACATATCTGGAAGGAAGACAGCAGTGTGTAGCAATTAATAATGAAACTACTTTTATCTTAACGCTTACAGCTGGCATCCCACAGGGATCCATATTGGGCCCAATGCTTTTTATGATCTATATTAATGACTTTCCAAAAATCTGTTCTGGGGCTGGTTTCCAGATGTATGCCGATGATGTAGTTGTGTGTGTGAGAGGCAAGAACATAGAAACCATACCTGCACAGCTGCAACACCACTTAGATGCTGTGTCATCCTGGTCTGAAAACTAATTCTAAGAAAAAGTAAAACAGTGTGAGTGTTTTTTGCTTCTTGATCACGAGCAAAATTCATGATCAAGCTGTAACTCAAGTTGAGAAGTGAAATATTTAGGTTTGATTCTTGACTCCTGCTTATCATTTAACAGTCATATAAAAAAATCACAAAAACAGCTACATAAAATCTGTACAATTTAGGAGTGAATGTGTTGCAGGATTTCCTCACAATAAGATCATATATTAGTAATGTTAACTTTGTCAATTGTGGGAACATTTCAGCTTCATTACCTCCGTCTCCCCAAAGACATCGGCGAAGATCACGTCATCCTGATGGACTGCACCGTGTCCACTGGAGCTGCAGCCATGATGGCGGTTCGAGTCCTGTTGGTGCGACTTCCTGAAATTTCCTGCTTTACTTTCTGGTTTCAGTCTGTTTATTAAGACATTTTCGTTTCAGGATCACGATGTGCAAGAGGACAAGATCCTGCTGGTTTCTTTGCTGATGGCGGAGATGGGTGTCCACTCAGTGGCCTATGCGTTCCCTCAGGTCAAGATCATCACCACAGCGGTGGACAAGAAGGTCAATGATGTCTTTCACATCATTCCTGGAATCGGTGGGTGTGACAAACTTAGGATTTATGAAATATTGCTTCATTTGCTCTCATACATGATGTTTTTATGGAACGTCTTGATTTGATGTTTTTATGGAACGTCTGATTTGTTGTAGGAAACTTTGGGGATCGGTACTTTGGGACGGATGCACCTCCTGACTGGAGTGACGAGGAGATGGATGAGCCCAGTTACTAAATTGCTCAGGACTTCACCGTTCCGAGGAAAACGAAAAGAAATGTGTTTTATCTTTGTCTGAAAACGTCTCGGATTTTTTAATGATCAAACTGAACTGACCTGAGAACTAAACTAAAAACAGGATATTCTTATTGTAACATTTCTGCTGTAAATTATATTGTCTGGAAGCTTTTTTATTTGTAAAGTACCTTGCAGAGGATAAATATTTTATTTAATGCCTAAATTGTGACAATCTCTTTAGAAATTAGCTAAATAGTTTAGAATATTTGTCTAGCCTTAAGTTATGTACTGTGGATGACAACTGAATGTGAAAAGTCAAGCTCTACTGTCGTTTTTTTTACATATGCCTCCTTCCTCGCAACTTTCAGAAAAGTAAAATCGGAACATGAACTCATCTTTACTCTACTTCCATCGCCATGAGCGCTTTCTGAAGGACCATTCAATCGGAAAATGTGTGGGTGTGTTTTTTTTTTTTTTTTAGCTCTCGTTCACCCTTTCCCTTCTCTGTGGATAGTGACCTCCACCAGTTGAAGAAAAAAAATACATGCTGAAAACAGTTTTTCATTATACAGCTTTAAGTGTGCACTTGTGGTGAATATTTATGCTGAATGTTCTTCATTTACATGTTTTCATTATGGATGAATCTGACCAGTCGGAGAGCTGGTTGTGCTGCTCCCCTTTTCTTTTTTTGTTGCTATCAAACGGGTCATCTGCATACAGCAAACAGATGAAGTGTTCAAATCAGCTTCACACGCTCTGATTTATGTCGGCCATTTATGCTGCAGCTCGGTTAAGAACTTGAGATGTCTACAGATCAAAAAGTGTCCTGATAGTGCCCGATCTCTGTTTGTTAGCTTTATTTAAGTTAATTCCGCGGATCGGGTTGATGCTGCCTTTTTATTTTCAAAAAATGTATTTTAAACGGTGCAATTTTTGTGGAAAAAATAGAAATGTCCTCAAAGGAAAATATTGTTCTTTTTTATGATTTACATTTCTTGGAATTTCCGTGTTTAAATTTCAGAGAAGTGTTAACAAATTATTTAGGAGACAAACGTCATAAAGTGTTAAAATTGTATGCACTCTATCCAGACACAAACTAGTACAGATGTTTTCTGTGCAATAATCAGCTGATCGTTGGACTGTTTACTGTTTTGCTTGACATTTTTTTGCACTTTTAACAATAAAAATATATATTTGAGTAAAGTGCAGTACAGAGAATTTTTTGGTTCGTATTGTTTAGTTTTATACATCAACAGGCTCCATCACTTTAGGAATAAAAACCACCTTTCTCTGTTATGTTCTGATATGTCAAACATTTTCACACAGACAAGCACACTACCTGTGCTGTGTGAATGAACAGGAAGGATATTGTGGTTGTCCTCTTTTCATGGAAAGTAACCTCGATGTCTTCCATTACCTTCCATAATTACCACCCTGACAGCTGTCAAGAAGAAGAGCATGATTGACACATCTCATGAGGCTGATGGACGATTATGGACCAGTTGGGCAGATATTGACGCACAAGAAGCTTTTTTTTCCTGAGGAGGTGTGAGAGGGATGGCAAAAAGACATGCAAGAGCTAAAAATATCAAGAAGCTCAGCAGCAGCATTTCTTTTACTCTTCTCCATAAAATAAAACAAGAATTTTTGATGTCCTGCATGTGTAAAAAGGTGTTTTTATTAATTGACAGAAAAATGTTGGCAATCTTCCAGTAAATTCAAATTTTCAGAAATTTGCTGACGTTCACACAAACTAAACCTAAGTTTAAAAATATAAATAAATTATTCTCAATAAATGCATGAAAACTTTGTACGAATGAAGATGTCAGTGGAAAGTTGAGCTGCAGCGCTGACAAACAGGAAGGTGTGTGCGTGTGTCACCGTGTGTTTGTTGCATCCCCATTGGCAGCACAGAGCACGATGAGGTCACAGACTGGTGAAAGCAGCAGGAGTGGCCCTTATAACCTGTTTCTTTTATCATCTCACCTCACACTCTTTCACCAGTTTGCTCTGCTCCTTCCCCTGTTCTTCTGCTATTTCTTCTTGCTGAGGATGGAAGATCTGCTCCCTGCCTGGCGTGATCTGGGCGTGCGAGGAGGCGCAGAGTCTGCCGTGTGGGTAAGAAGCCCTCAGAGATGACTTTTAGACTCAAACTGCTCAAACCTACTGCATTGTTTTATTATTGTAATGGCTTTTGTAGAAACATGGATAGGATTAGTGTTTTTATGGCTGTTATTTGCCTGGTTAATGTGCTATCTGTGAGCAGAGAGTGTGTCAGGGTGGTAGATGTGAGGAGATGCAGGCCAACAGAGAGCAGCAGTTCACTGCTGATAGTTCAGAATGAATTATTCAGACAATGAAGTATTTCTGAATCAAGTGAAGAGGGCTTAGATTAGCCTGTTGAAGAGGGCAAAGCTCTGTCTTTCTTTTCTCTTCCTTCTGTTTTCCACCTCTTTCTCTGCAGGCGTCTGCGTGAGTGTCTCCATCTACGGTTTCTCATAAAACCTCTGAGCGATTGGTCAGTCCTCATAAGGTCAAGCCAGGGTGATTTAGATATTGCATGTAAGAGATGCCGTTTGTGCATTATGCCCAGCTGGTTGAGTGTTTAATTGCTTTCTGAGTGGTTTCATTTTACTTTAGCCATCAACTGATAGATAAACATGGTGCCTTTCTCTAATTCTCTACATTCCTGCACATGATGTCTGAAAAATACATTTTGCACAGACTGTGTTATGCTGCCAAAAGGCCTTCCATGGCAGCAGCCCTTAAACTAAAAACGCGAAAAGGTTTTTCACTGGGGACACATAACATTTCCCAAACTAAAACTCGAGAGAATTTATGTCGTTTTGATGATTTCAAAAGCAGACTAACTCTTGGCGCCAAAATCCAGACTTACTCAAAGTTTGCAGGTGAAACATAAAATGTTGCTTTCTGCAGGATTTAAACACTTAAATGAGCAGAAATCTTCAAATGTTTGTGACAAACAGAATTTTTGCAAAAATGATCAACAAAAGTGACCTTGAGTTTTATTCTAACGACCTCGTCAGCACGTTGCTCACATGTTGCAGAAATGTTAACACATCTTTTACTTCTATTCATCAGGCGCTTTTATTTTTATCAGGAGGTTTGCCCTCACAGCGGAGTCCGAGTCTGACGGAGCAGCCCGATATGAGACACCTGACCACTCTGTGATACCTGTGGTTCTTTCTAGGACTGTCCAACCTGAGAATGGTGATTTAAGGCTCAATCTCAGGTTCGTCAGCCCAAGAAACGCCAACTCACTTCAGCAGAGTATGTGGAGGACCCTAAAAACCAAATAAAACAAAGAAAAGCTCCAGCCTCTGTGCCAAAAACATCAGAATTCAGCTAAGTCTGTTAGAAAAACATGAAGAAAACGTTGACTTTGTTCATCAAATCTGAATATTTGTGCTTGAATAACCAGATTTTCTATATTCTTTTCAGTTATCTAAAATTCTCACCTACTCTTTGATAGGTGAGAATTATGTGTCAGCGATAAAGACAAAATATTCTTATATGTACCAATTAAAACTTCCTCTGTTCTCATAAACGGTGAGTTACTGAAGGTTTCCTCCAACCCTGTGTGTGTGTGTTAACCAGAAGAGGGAGCAACATGCACATTAAGCAGGAAGCAGAGGTCGCTGCAGCTGGTTGAAATGAACAGGTCTGATAAAGTTAAATTAGACTATTTACTCCTATAATTATGAATTTAGTCCTAAAACTTTTGATATTGACAAATCCCTTAAAATATCTTTGATTTTACCCCCAAAACTGTTTCTTGTGATCCACAAACCAAATAAATGTTGATCGGTTGTGTTCTTGTCTGATACATTTAGATGTTAATGTTTTAGTCATTGTGTCTCAGAAGCACAAGAACGTGGACTTAGATGCTTTACGGTTATTTAGTCTATAATTACAGGGTCTCTAAGGAATAATAAGCAGGAAAACATGGAAATGGGATGATGGCTCCATGTTTGGTTTGTTTTTAGGAAACAGATGAGTTTATTTGCATTTATTACATTGAAAACAAACTTTTTCTCCCTGGCTTTTAACTCCTAAGTCTGATTTTAGTATCAAGTCTAAAGGTTTACCTCCATCCCGTTGATTGCTTAATCTTACTTCTGTATATTTTAAGGTTTTCAATTGCCCGTTTGGTTTTTAGTTCTTTCTTTTTAAACCTGGTTTTAGTATTAAGCCTATAGGATGTTCTCCTTTCCATTTTATTGCCTACATTTGTGTATTTTATGGTTTAATTGTCTGTCTGGTTTTAATCCTTTGAACGGTACTTTCAAATGTTATAATTTAGCGGTTTTTAATTGTCTTTTTTACAGTGCAGCACTTTGGTCAGCTGCTTAGCTGTGTTGAAAGTGCTTAACAAATAAAATGGTATGGTATGGTGTGGTACTTGTTTTATAAAATTTGTGTGACACAACATCATGTTAAAACTTTATTAAATACGTCAAAAACTAAACACAAGCTGCTACATTTTGGTGTATTTTTCTGTTTACTTTTGCATGTTTGTCAAACTTTTTTTTATGTCCTAGAATATTAAAAGACGCTGTTACTCATGAAAACACGACATTTATTTCTAAATAAAACAAAGAAAGTTACAAACGAATGAATGCCAGAATGAAATGGAAAACACACATTGTATGTTCTACTTTGTTTCTTTTTAGCTATTATTTTTTGTGTGTTTTGTTTTGCATTGATTGTTTTCTCCTTTCATTAATATAAGAAGAAAAACATATTTTTTGTACGTATTTGTTTTCTCTCCATTTCTGCCAAAGTTAAAAGTGAAACCAGGGCAAAATTTTTTTAACTATAATAACTTTGTTGTCATTTGTATTTTTTATTTATTTTTTGGTTAAGGGGAACAGATAACATAAGTTTAGCTTCTTTCTGTTCCTTTTTCATTTTTTATTTTTGCAAACCTGTTTAGTGTTTTGTTTTTATTTGTGAACAAATGAAAACAAACTTCAAAAAATGCTGTTTACACACATTTCAGCTCCTTGCTTGATTTTATATCTTTGAGCTACTGAAAAATTTAAGATTTATATTTTAGAATTGCTACTCAGAGGGACTTTGTGGTGAGTTTTGCACCACGGCAAACACTTTCTTACATTTTGACCTTTGACTGGTTAATATTAATTCTGTAACCCACAGGAGCTTAAATAAAGTACAATATGAAAAAAACAAACAAAATTTTCCTTTTTATTTAATAATCCCAGCAAGTGTTTGTTCACGATAAGAGAGCACGTCACTGTTCACAGGCGACTCCTCAAAGCTCCATTCTAACAAAGACTAGCTTAGGAGCGAGGCACCCGAGGACCCAGTTGGCGCTCGAACCTCAGATGGTCACTCCCATGGATAATTAGAGGACAATGCTGGGATGCAGGCTTTGTTAGCTTCACCTTGTCTTTGCTGTAATTTTATCTCCACAATTGTGTTACGGCTAAATGAATTCACCACAGCTTTGTGTCGCTGGAGAAAACCGATTCCACAAGCATCATTTAGAGGGTTTCTACCCAAGGTGTCCTTTTGGGTTAAAGGTCAGACCAGGTTCTTTTTAGTGACCGAAACATAATTTTTATCCACACAAGCGCCGCCACTGGCTCTTAACCTTCCTGTTGGCTTTTTGTTTTTGTCTTCCAGCCTTTATTGTTGATTCAGAACTTAACAGAGACATCTCACCATGGTTCGTAAGCTAAGCTAGCCTTCTCCATCATCAACTGCCTGGACCTGTTGGGTTTAGACCTGAGGTCGTCTGGCTGAGAATGAACGAGTGAACGGAGAGAAAAGTCAGAATAAGGCAGCTGCTGCCTGGGGTTCAGGTCAGAGCGTGGAAAGATTCCACACACACAGCTCATTACACACTTTTTACCATTTGTAGATTTCTCCTTTATGCATCTACAGACTTACGTGTGCAGGATTAGAATCAGATTTGTTTGTTCATGCTGTTTACTGCAGTCACGTAGTCTTACCAAAAATACAAAATGACACATAGGGGGAGAAATAAAATAATAACAATAAAAGCATCCCATAATGAAATGATTTCTTCCCTAGAAACTATGTTGAGTATTTAAGTAATATATATTTCTTAGAGTGCAGATGTGATCAAACTTTACTGTTTAAACAACATGTGTGTCCACTCTTTTGTGTTGAATGAAGTTAGAATAAACTTAAAT